AAAGTGATTTCTGAAGGGTCATGTGACACTAAAAACTGGAGTAATGATGCTGGAAGTTCAACTTCACACCACAGATAATATAAATTAGTTTACAGCATATTCACGTACAGAAAACCTTTTAAATTGTAAAATATTTTCACGATTTTACTGTTTTTACAGCATTTTTAGTCAAATAAATGCAGTCTTGGTGAGTCTTGAAATCATATATATATTTTTTTTGATAACATAATCACATCCTCAAGCTCATGCATGGTGAATTATCTGTGATTTCATATTTTAAGGTATTTTTAACACAAAAAAAAGCAAAATTTTGTGCAGCAAGGACATATTTGTTGAGTCAAAAGTGACAGTCAAGTCATTTTATCAAATAAATGCTGCTTATTTGAACTTTAAATTCATCAAATAATAATAAAATGCACAGATTCAGATCAAATATGAAGCAGCACAACTGTTTATATCACTAATAATAATGTTTATATCAAAAATAATGTTCATTAATCATCAAATAATCATATTACAATCATTTCAGAAGGGTCATGTGACACTAAAAACTGGAGTAATGATGCTGGAAATTCAACTTTACACCACAGATAATATAAATTAGTTTACAGCATATTCACGTATAGAAAACCTTTTAAATTGTAAAATATTTTCACGATTTTACTGTTTTTACAGCATTTTTAGTCAAATAAATGCAGTCTTGGTGAGTCTTGAAATCATATTTGTTTTTTTTTTTGATAACATAATATCATTCTTAAGCTCATGCATGGTGAATTATCGGTGATTTCATATTTTAAGGTATTTTTAACAAAAAAAAGCAAAATTTTGTGCAGCAAGGACACAATTGTTCAGTCAAAAGTGACAGTCAAGTCATTTTATCAAATAAATGCTGCTTATTTGAACTTTAAATTCATCAAATAATAATAAAATGCACAGATTCAGATCAAATATGAAGCAGCACAACTGTTTATATCACTAATAATAATCATAAATGTTCATTAATCATCAAATAATAATATTACAATCATTTCAGAAGGGTCATGTGACACTAAAAACTGGAGTAATGATGCTGGAAATTCAACTTTACACCACAGATATAAATTACAGTTTAAAGTATATTCACAAACAGAAAACATATTTTAAATCGTAAAATATTGTACAATTTTTACAGCATGTTTAATCAAATGAAAGCAGTCTTACTGAGCACATATATCACCTAAAGGTGTGTGTTGTGTGTCAGAAGTCATTTGCTCTATGGAAAGGAATGAATGTGATTTTTACTTCCGGAAGGGTCTGTTTGCACGCGTTATAGACGAGCGTAAAAGGCAGACGAGAGAGCTTTGAGAATAATTTCCCCTCTTTATTTAAAAGCAGCTTTGGTGTGAACGATTTTCCGTGTGTCTCAATAGTGTTTACAAATCTCTGCATTTTAACTTCACATCTTGACGTCTTTTGTTCAGTCTGATTTGTTGGCAAAAACACGGCTGTGTTTCTCTCTCTCTCTCCCTCTCTCCCTCCTTTCATTTTCATTGTCCCAGAAAACCAATTACTCCTGCTTGTCCGTCATCCTCTTCTTTTATTGGAAGTGTCAGTTTGAATTTAATTTGAATGTTGCATGTAATGCGCAGGCAGCTCCAAATCCCTCATTATCGCAACGCTGCATGCTTAATTGGATTGGAGAATACAAAGAGTGAATTAACTTACATGATGTTTAAATGACATTGTTCTTCAGCCGGCTTACGCAAGAGTCCGGACTAAATACGCCAACAGAGTCCAGTGTGCAATTATACCTGGTCAGAGCAGATTGAAAATAAGCCAGGAGGGTTTGGGTATGCTGATATCAATGGTTCAATGCTGGTGCATTTGAATATTAATTCCATCTGGACTACAGCGACAATTAGCACATGTCATTTGCATCGGTGTTTGATTTGCCTTAATGTCTTAATGTCTACATTAATTTACCTTAATGTCTTAATGTCTAAATGTCTTAATAATTCTTAATTCTTAATAATTCTTAATAATTCTTAATAATAATTGTCTTAATAAATCAATAAATATTTCTTTTGGACACTAAGGGCCCTATCATACACCCAGCGCAATAAGGCACGGGACGTATTTGATGCGATTTGTTGCTATTTTCAGACCAGCGCATCTCTGGTTTTCACATTTTGTGCCATGTTGTGTAAATAGCAATTCCGTTTGCGCCGCTTTGTGGACTCATGGGTTTTCAAGGTGTGCATTTCTGGTGTGTTGCAATTCTGAGGAACTGAAATTGACCAAATTGACCAAATGAAACCTGGTCTTAAGTCCAGCACAGAGCACGTTAGTTGTGCGCCTATGCAGGTCCAAATGCTTACACACTTCATAATACAAACACGATGTACAGCAGGGCTATTCAATTAGTTCGGCATAGGGGTCTGTTCATGAAAAGCATCCCGAACGAAGAGCCGGAGAAATATGACTTGCTATAAAAGTGATGACACAACTATATACAAAAGCCCATATGCTGTATTTGTGCTCATAAAGACACCCACGTTGGCTTTTTCCTACATTAAAATGTGAATATATTGTATTTTAAATAATATTGTGTGCATATATATATATATATATATATATATATATATATATATATATATATATATATATATATATATATATATTTATAGTAAAAATGGCAGTAAACAGTTTGTTTTTGATTTCAGGTTGACTTGTAGACTCATTTTTACAATGTTTTTGTGTGCGTGTGCTAGCGTGTGCGCGTTCGTGCATGTGTGTGTGTGTGTGTGTTTGGGCCCTATCATACACCCGGCGCAGTGTGGCGCAAGGCGTGGCGCAGTAGTCTTTTGGTAGTTTCAGCTTGGTGCAAGAGTGGTTTTAGGCGTTGTGCTACGCTGTTTAAATAGCAAATGCATTAGTGCTCATATGTGCGTCCATAGGCATTTTGGTCTAAAAAGGAATGGGGTTCTGAGGCGGACCGCTGACATGTTGCTATTTTGAGAAACTATAATAGATTTTTCATTAGACCAAAACAAACCCGGTCTAAACTCCAGCGCAGAGTTGCGCCTCGCTTACACACTGCTTAATACACACAAGAGAGCAATAGGCAAATATCTTTACATATAAAAAATGTAAATATTAAGGATATATATATAGGATATAATAAGAATAGATATAGAATATAAATATAAAGGATAAAATATTACAAAACATATTATTTTCTAGCCTACATAAATATGAAAAATCACTGCTTTTATGTCTTCTTCATCTCGGGAGGCTTTTTCAGTTCATTCATAACAATTTGCTTTTGTATAATGTTATTATTATTAGCAGTATTATTTATTATATCCATATTTATATTTGTTTTATTAAAAACAAGCTTAGATTTGCCCACCTGTCAGGTTTTAGACCATATGGGGCACAGCATGTGTTTTAGGATATAACTCAGGTTTTTGAGCACACTTCGTTATTATTGTTCATTTATTCGTTTGCTGGAAATTAGAACTGAATTTAGAAATAGTTTTGAAACGAATATTTGCGCTTAACAAATGAAAATTAATTATTTATAGACTAATTGATGTCTGTGTGTAAAGGTTTCCCTATCCAAGAGCGAATGTGAAAGTAGATCCGTTATCTCTCATTCTCACGCAGTAGATGCTCTGTTTAACAGTTTTCTGTTAAAAACCTGTGAACTGTTTGCTAGTGAAATGCTCAGTTTTTCCACTTAGACTTACTTTGCGTCCTGTAAATAGTGAATGCGCTCTTGGCGTGACGCAGCTGGCTCTTAAAGGGAATGGGAGATGAGACTCTGATTGGTTTATTCTCAAAACACACCTATAACTCATTAATAAAATAAACTCAACCCTTTTAGACCATGCGCCACGGCGCAAAGCAGATTTTCCCGTCCTTAAATTAGCAAAAACGCATCCTGACACGCCCTGAAAGCATTTGCGCCCTGCGTTTTGCGCTTTGCGCATGGACCGTCAAAATAGAGCCCTTTGTGTGTGTGATCATCATGTAAATCACATGTAAAGTCAGATCATAGAGCGGTCTGTTTTAATGGAGCATCAGCCGACGTTTCATGCTACATTTGCTCTGTCTCTAAATTAGTTTCTTTTCTTTTTTTTGGTACATTGAAAATGCTGATGAGATGGAATGATGTTATCTAACCATCAAGTCCTGCCCTAGAAACCTCTTTCACTGGTTTGCTTTAACTCTCGTGTTTTCAGTCCTGTCTAAGACAAAGATGTACTGTTCCCCCTTTATTTTATATTCATTTATATCTCCACTTTAATAAAATGATGCATTTGGCTTTTTTTTATTTGCAGTGCATGACAGTTTTAAATGAAGAAATGCATATTAGCGTGCTTCACACATCAGATGATGCAGCACTGATTTAAATGGGATATTAACAACGTCTGCTGGACTCTCTGCATTAAGAAATCAATTTCAGCACAATGTTTCAGCGCTCTGAAGAGAGTCCACGAACTGTCAGAGCCGATTACGCAGCCGTCGCTTGACTGAAAGCATTCTGGAATCCAGCGCATCCCATTTTTATTTCATGATGTTTGCAGATAAAAGACAAGCCGCATTTGCATAGCCAAACATGCATAGGAGTGGAGCAGCAGTGCATGCTGGGACACACAGACGCACTCACAGAACTCCACGTATCAACAAACTACACATGCTTATAGTATTTAATGTCATTTTCACTATGGAAATCTTAAAAAAACTGTTGGGATGTGTGTGAAGTTAGCATTATTATTTATTTTGATCATAAAATCATCATATTAGAGTTATTTCAAGGTCATGTGACACTGAAGACTGGAGTAATGATGCTGGAAATTCAGCATTTTTAGTCAATTAAATACAGACATCAGTTAATCTTTTATTTTTATTCTTATCTACTCTTACACTTATAGAGTGTATTTGATCTTGAATGATGCATTAACATGTATTTGTTATTTTTATTTGCATTAATATTGGTTCTGTATCTTCTTCAGATCACAGGGGAGAAGCGGCCTTCCTCTGACATGATGAAGCCCAAACCCAAACCTCAGAAGAAGAAGAAGAAGAAGGACCCGAATGAGCCGCAGAAGCCGGTCTCGGCGTACGCACTCTTCTTCAGGGACACTCAAGCCGCCATCAAAGGACAAAACCCCAACGCCACTTTTGGAGATGTCTCGAAGATCGTGGCCTCCATGTGGGACAGTCTGGGAGAAGAACAGAAGCAGGTCAGTGCAGAGTTCTGGAGATTGCAAACTGATGCTGGATTGATGGATGGATGGATGGATGGATAGTTGGATGGATGGTCGGTTGGTTGGATGGATGGATGGTTTTTGTTTGGTTGGATGGATGGTCGGTCGGTTTGTTGGATGGATGGTTTTTGTTTGGTTGGATGGATGGATGGATGGATGGATAGTTGGATGGATGGTTGGTCGGTTGGTTGGATGAATGGTTTTTGTTTGGTTGGATGGATGGATGTATGTATGGATGTATGGATGGATGAATGTATGGATGTCGATTGGTTGGTTGGATGGATTGATATATGGATGGCTGGATAGATGGATGGATGGTTGATGGATGAATGGATAGATGGCTTGATGGAATGATGAATTGATTGATGGATGAATGGATAGATGGATTGATGGAATGATGAATTGATTGATGGATGGATGTATGTATGGATGTATAGATGGATAAATGGATGGATGGATGGTCAGTCGATTGGTTGGTTGGATGGATTGATATATGGATGGCTGGATAGATGGATGGATGGTTGATGGATGAATGGATAGATGAATTGATGGAATGATGAATTGATTGATTGATGGATGGATAGATGGATGGATGGATGGAATTTAATAAAATTTTTAAACAGTAGTGTATACAGCTAAATGTTTGTGTCTTCTGTAAGCAGTGTGTGTGTGTGTTGAGTGATTCTTCGGTTGGTCGGTTGGTTAGATGGATGGTTTTTTGTTTGAATGGATGGATGGATGGATGGATGGATGGATGGATGGATGGATGGATGGATGGATGGATGGATGGATGGATGGATGGATGGTTGGTTGGATAAATGGATGGATGGGCGGTCGGTTGGTTGGATGGATTTATATATGGGTGGGTGGATGGATGGATGGATGGATGGGTGGATGGATGGATGGATGGATGGATGGATGGATGGTTGGTTGGATAAATGGATGGATGGGCGGTCGGTTGGTTGGATGGATTTATATATGGGTGGGTGGATGGATGGATGGATGGATGGGTGGATGGATGGATGGATGGTTGGTTTTGTTGGATGAACGGATGGATGGATGGGCGGTCGGTTGGTTGGTTGGTTGGATGGATTTATATATGAATGGATGGATGGATGGATGGATGGATGGATGGATGGATGGTTGGTTGGATGAATGGATGGATGGGCGGTCGGTTGGTTGGATGGATGGATTGATATATGGATGGATGGATGGATGGATGGTTGGTTGGTTGGAAGGATCGATATATGGATGGATGGATGGATGGATGGTTGGTTGGTTGGAAGGATCGATATATGGATGGATGGATGGATGGATGGTTGATAGATGGATGGATGGAAATTTAACTTTTTAAACAGTAGTGTATACAGCTAAATGTTTGTGTGTTCTGTAAGCAGTGTCTGTGTGTGTGTGTGTGTGTGTGTGTGTGTGTGTGTGTGTGTGTGTGTGTGTGTGTGTGTGTGTGTGTGTGTGTGTGCACGTGATGTTGGTTGTATTTTTAGCATATCCTCCATAACACAGGTCTTCTATTGCATGTCCAATAAGAGCACCTGCCTCAGTGACAGAGTGTATTGCTTACTTTCTCTCTCAGTCTCTCTCTCTCTCTCTCTGTCTCAGTCTCTCTCTCCATCTCTCCAGGCTGCCGTGTCCTTTTATTTGCAGTTAATTTTTGCCTCCTTCACTCTCCCCTCTTCACCATGAATCTTCATTTTGCCGCTGACACCCTTGAATGTGAATTCCTCATTTCCTGGGCTCTTTTTATTTATATCTGTTGCCTGGTGATTCGATCATGCTGAGAATACCAGATTAGCCATCACCGGCGCCCTTCTCTTCCCTCAAGGACATCTGCTCGCCCAAATCTTATTGTTTTGTGTGTTTTAACCCTTTACCATCTGGAAATCCACACTGTGTCTTCACAGATTCCTGGAATAATACTCTCCGTCCTTGGGCGCTGCATGGCGTGTTTGTGTCTCTTTTATTTATCTGGTATAACAAGGTGACTTTCTCTGGGCTTTAGTGTGCATGTGTTCTGTGTGTCCGGAGCTCATGAGGTCAGGACTGTCCCTGAGCGGCTCCTCGTTCACTTGTTAGGGCGAGTTATGTCATCTGTTAGTGACATCATCACCTGCTTGATAATCTGTGGCAGTTGGTGGCCTTTTGGCTCTGTTTCAATTCTCTAGTGAGTGGCCTTTCTAGAGAGCATGATTTTTGTCCTCTTAAAATATTTTTTTACAATAAATAAATGTTAGAATAAAAAAAAAAAAAAAAAAAATATATATATATATATATATATATATATATATATATATATATATATATATATATATTTTTTTTTTTTTTTTTTTTTATGTGCACCAAAGCTATTTTATTTCATTTTATTTTTTTCTGTTATTTTATTTTATTTTTTTATTTTTTATTTTAATTTTTTTATTTAATATATTATTTTATTTATTATTTATTTTATTATAATTGTATTTTGTTATTTTATTTTGTTATTTTATTTTATTTATTTTTATCTTATTTAATTTTATGTACTGCTAATGGTTGGCGGTTGGGGGCCTTTTGGCTCTGTTTCACTTCTCTAGTGAGTGGCCTTACTAAAAAGCATGATTTTTTTCTTTTCTCTCAAAACATGTTTTATTTACAATAAATAAATAAATAAATAAATAAATAAATTTTATATATATATATATATATATATATATATATATATATTTTTTTTTTATATATGTGCACCAATGCTATTTAATTTTATTGCATTTTATTATTTTATAATTTTTTTTGTATTTTATTATATTATTTTATTGTATTGTATTATTTTATTTTATTTTACTTTATCTGCTGCTAATGTTTGGCTATTGGCTGCTAATAATCACTATTAAGTGGCCTTATTAGTCAAATTTTTAAAACATTTTAATTTGATTAGATTTTTTATTTTAATTTATTTGTTTTATTTATTTATTTATTCATTATTTATTATCTTACTTGTCAGCATGATTTCCCTTTTCCTCTCAAACATTTTTTATTTTGTTTTTGTTTTTTGCTGTAAAAATGTTTAAACATGGGGCGACACGGTGGCTCAGTGGTTAGCACTGTGTTCTCACAGCAAGTTGGTCACTGGTTTGAGCCCCGGCTGGGTCATTTAGCATTAATGTGTGGAGTTTGCACGTTCTCCCCGTGTTGACGTGGGTTTCCTCCGGGTGCTACGGTTTCCCCCAAGAGTCCAAACACATGCACTATAGGGGAATTGAATAAGCTAAATTGGCCTTGGTGTATGTGTTTGCATGTGAGGGTGTATGGGTGTTTCCCGGTACAGGGTTGCAGCTGGAAGGGCATCCGTTGCATAAAACATATGCTGGATAAGTTGGTGGTTCATTCCACTGTGGTGAGCCCTGATAAATAAGGAACTAAGCCGAAGGAGAATGAATGACTGAACATTACTTTATCATCACCTGCTGCTAATGTTTGACAGTTTATAGACTTTTGACTCTTGTTCAGTCCCTAGTGAGTAGTCTGCATGATTTCCCCTTTCCTCTTTAACATTTTTATTACATTTTTTTTTTACAATAAAATATTTTAGAATGCTATTTTATTTTATTTTCGGTATTTTGTATTGTTTCATTTGATTTTATTATATTTAATTTTATTGTATTTGTGAAATTTATCTGCATTATTTCAAGTAAAATATATAGTTTATTAGAGGAGTTTATTTTTTTCTATTGGTATACTAAAAAAAAAAAAAATAAATATATATATATATATATATATATATATATATATATATATATATATATATATATATATATATATATATATATATATAGTTTTATTTTCATTTTGTTTATTTAGAGATTTTTATATGTTTCTCCGTGGCTATACTGAATGAGTTTTATCTGTAAAATGTGTTGTTTTCCTCCTGAAAGCAGAGTATTGTGCTCAGAAAGCGCAGCAGGAGGAGCCACGCTCTGATAGGCCATTAGCAGATGATTGATAGGCCTCTCGTCCAATAGATGACTGTCATTTCTTTAAGTGACGGCCCTGACCTGTCAGTCATGCGGATGATGAATATGTTAAATGATGTAGAACTGCAGCCATAATTTCAGCCGCAGGCAATACATTCAATTTATTTACTGCTTTAAGGAGTTTCAGAGCTTCAGTCACTCCCAGTTCATTAACAGCCAGCTTTACACTTCTGGATAATACATGCTTATGTGTCTGTTTTATGCATTACTAATATTATTTACAATTTTCAAACATTTTCTTTTTCAACTCACACAGAATTATGTTTTACTAATCACAAGAATTATGCTTTTCTCTTTCTTTACATAAAATGAAAAAGTTTTTTGTTGTTGTTTTGTTTTGTAAACAACCCATTTATTTATTTATTTATTTACTTACTTGTTTGTTTGTTAACAGTTTCACAGCTAAATTTTTATTACTTGCCAATTTCCATCACTAATTGTATGTATGTGTGTGTGTATTTATGCATATTTGCACATGAAAATGAATGTTATGCATTGCAAATTTCCATTGTTGTGGAATTTTCTAAGAAAAATATATGACATTGGCTGTTTTTATTTAATTCTAATAATATTACATTTTTTTAAATGATCTAAAATGTCAGAATTTTATTCTATTTTTTTTCCACAAAAATTTCTTATTTAATTTTCCAAAAGTAAATTACCAATTCACATAATATAATTTACATATTTTTATACATATTATTTTATTTAGTGTTTTATTAATGCATATGGCATGCACCACAACATTTTAGTTTAGCATTTTATTTTTGTGACATTTTTGTGACATCTAAAATTTTATTTTATTTTTTTATTTTATTTTATTTTATTTTATTTTATTTTTATTTTATTTTATTTTATTTTATTTTATTTTATTTTATTTTATTTTATTTTATTTTATTTTATTTTATTTTATTTTATTTATATTTTTATTTTATTTTATTTTAATTTATTTTATCACAGCTAGTTGTGTTTTTAAATAATTTCACAGTGAAGCCCAAACCTCTAAACCTGCATTACTAATTAAAATAATATAATTAAAACATTTTTAGAGGTAACATTTTAACATGTCAGTGTTTTATTAATGCATATGCCATGCACAATAACATTTTAGTTTTCCAATTTGTAACATATTTTTATAGATTTATACATCTGTATATAAGCAATATTACACAATTAGCAGTGCAATATGGCTGTATATTGGCACTGGTGGAAGGCGTGCGTTTGCTCGAGGCCACAGGCCGAGTGTCTTAGTGTCCCACCAGTGATGATATAAAGCCATATTGCACTGCTACGAGTGGGATATTCCATTTATACAACATATCGACGGCACAACTGTGTATATAAAAATGAAATCAAACACGTCTCAAAATCCTTTTGTAAGAAGAACTACTTTCTTCAGCCATTCATTCACGTCGCAGCTGACATCAGAACAGATTCTCTAGCGTAATGTGTAAAGTGATGACAAAACAGGGGATTTTTGCTCACATTTTAAGATTATAAGGCTGAACGGCTTGAAATACCACAGAGATTTCCCGGTATAAATACAACTAATTTATAATGATTTGTTCAGCTGTAGTTTGAAACTTACCCTAAGAAAATGCTGTTTTTCTCCCGAAGCACTTATTATGCAGTCTCTGTCGCCATCTTGTGGCAGAACGTCAACTGTCACTTTCTTTGACCTGCTCAAACAGGCTGATGGCGGCCGATGCGCTGAATCTGATGCTCAGAGAAAATAAATAAACTGCATAGTTGCAATCTATACAACTACATTCTAGACTAAAACAAAAGCCTAAAAATTACATTATGTCGCCCAACAGCTGCAATATTTGTCAAACTGTAGTGTCCTCTGCTTGTTGCTGTATGTGGGCGGAGTAATACACTAGGGTGAAAGGTGAAGAGGCAACTTGAGTGCTGTTATCTGCAGAATATCGCACGGCTATCAGCCAATCAGGTTCAAGAACCAGACAGAACTGTTGTATGTATATATATATATATATATATATATATATATATATATATATATATATATATATATATATATATATATATATATATATATATATATATATATAATGACGTTGTTTTGTAGCGTTGTCATTGGGTCTCTTTTCTCTTCGTTGTTGCCATGTGAAAGTGTGATTTTCGTCTCTGCTGTGTGTTTCTCCTCCACGTTTTCACCCCTTCCCGTGTCAAACTTATTGTCTTCAGTAATTAAGCGGTTATCAAACAAGAACATTTCATTAAGGTACAATTACAGCTAATTGTGCGGGGGGTCTGGATGAAGACCTGCTAACATCTGACGGCTTCAATTGCTAATGAATCCGCTCACTTTGGAATAATTAGAAATCCTCAGGCATGCTAATTTATTTAAGAGCTGCTGTCGTTAGGGCCACTCATTAGCGGAGGTTAAATTAATGTGAAACTGAAGCTCCTCTGCAGTTCATTACTACTGATAAACCACCAAACACACTTCAGGATTTCACCCAGGTCACAAACTTATTGGCTTTCTGGATCAGGTCTGGGTTTCGGGTGAAAATCTGCTTCTCTGTAATGAATAACGTAATGAATTTTCTGTTATTACTGATTATGTGGAGCGGCGAGTGTACTGTAGATTTACATGCATGAATCAACTGATTGGTTTGTGCATTGTAAAAAAAACTAATATTGTTAAATGTGCTCCAGTAAACTTTCAATTAAAATAGATTTTATTTCAGCGATTGATGTGAAGAATCACTCAATTTGTTTTATATAATTTCATTTTATTTTAAATAATTTTTTATTTTATTTTATTTTATTTTATTTCATTTTTAAAAAAGTAGTGTTATGTTAAATGTACTCCAATTGCAACGTTTGAAGTCAAACCATTTTATTTTATTTTTTTTTACATAATTTTATTTTATTTCATTTTATAAAGTTTTTATTTTATTTTATTTTATTTTATTTTATATAATTTAGATTTTATTTGCTAAATTTTTCACAATTTTTTTAAATTTCATTTTATATAGTTTGCTTTATTTTTATTTTATTTTATTTTACATAATTTTAATTTTATTTATACATTTTTTTTAAATAATTTTATCTTATTTTGTTTTATATAGTTTAATTTTGCATAATGTCTTTACATCATTTTCATTTAGCATATTTCTTATTTTCTTATTTTATTTCATTTTACATCATTTTATTTTGTTTCATTTTACATCATTTTAATTTTATTTTATCTCATTTTGATTATAATGTGTAATTGCCGTTTCAATATTAATTATATAAGTATTAAATATATAATTATTTAATAACATTTGTGAAATACACTAATATTATATCTTATATCCTTTATGCGTATTATATATTATGTCTTTATTGTGAAAATAATTTTAAAATGCACTTAAAGGACTTTATAAAATAATTTATTTTGATTTAGGGTGTTAAAAAATAAAGAACATTTTTATTAATTAAATTTTTTCTTATATTTATTTTAAAATAATATGCCTGACATTTTATCCTAAGTATTGCTTAAATTACCAGCAATATTTGATTGAATATGTTTTGGTTTACTTTTGGTTTTCTTTCTTTTTTTTTTCTTTTTTTTTTTTTTGCATATTTGTCCTGTTTTTATTTTATTTTATTTTTTAATTTAATTTTTATTTTATTTTATTTTATTTTATTTTATTTTATTTTATTTTATTTTATTTTATTTTATTTATTTTTTTCAATTATTGTGGGAATTTACCTAGTGAAAATGTTTTAGTTTTTTTTAGACTTTACAGTTTTTTGCATGTTCGACCTGTTTTTCCGACCTGTCATCCCCAAAAAAAGAGGTGTTTTGCGGATGATTTAAAGGCTGTTTTTCCTCATCAGCTGAAATCATTCTGATGTTTTCCTCAGTTTCTCAGGGAATTGCCTGCATTTGCTGCCAAAAAGAAATGGAAAGCGTAATTCTAGGATGGTGAAATGATTGACAAGCAATTGCATTAGTCTGATTGAGTGTGTTTGCTCATAGACATTCACTCCTGCTATTTATTCTCTCCTTTCATTTATCCATTACTTTGATATGTATCTACATTTACTGTATATCTGTTTAAATGCTTCATTAACATTTACAAACAATGATATTAATATTTAAATGTTGTTTTTTTATTTTATTCATCATTATTATTGTTGTTGTTGTTGTTAATAACAATAATATTTTTTGTAAATCCTTTATTTAAACCCAGAAACAATTATATTAATAGTGAGTTGTTGTTTTTCATTTTTTATTTTATTATTATTAAAAATATTTATAATTATTATTATAATCATCTTCATTATTATTTTTTTATTAATAATATTTAGTAAATTCATTATTTAAATTCAGAAACAATGATTTTAATAGCCAGTTGTTTATTATTATTATTATTTTTTTTAAATTATTATTATTATTATTATTGTTGTTGTTGTTGTTGTTGTTGTTGTTGTAAATCCTTTATTTAAACCCAGAAACAATGATATTAATATTAAGTTATTGTTTTTTTAACAACAGATTAATTTGTTTGCCTATGTTTTGTATTATTGAGCATCATATTTAAAAGATAATATTTATATTTATTATGTTTATATCATGTTTGATAGTTTATTTTGCTCTTATGACATACATAGTAGTAAAAAAACAGAGGAAGAATGTTTAGAGACTGAAAAGCATGCAGATGTTGATGTGTGTATGCACCAAAAGTAGGAAATTCTGATCTTTGTTAAAAATATAGAAGTCTACCATCTTAAAATGATGCAAATATCAGTCATACTTTATTTATTTATAGTTAAATGTAATACTTGTGCTTACAAAACAAACTTTAAAATAAATTGAAGCACCTACTAAAATCTAAATGCATATTTATTTCATGATTTGCAAAACATCTGTTTATTTTATTTATTAATATTTATATTTATGCTTACATGACATTTTTCAAAGTAAATATATATATATATATATATATATATATATATATATATATATATATATATATATATATATATATATATATATATATAATTTATTTATTTTTATTAAGTTTAATATTTTATTTTTTACTTATTACTCATACTTCCTTTATATAGAGTTATATAGATATGAAATCACTTTGGTTAAAAAACATAAAAAAAATGTAAATAAGTAAACCTAAACATAAAATTTTTATTTTTACATTTATTTGTTTTTATTTTCAAAGCGTTTATTTTATTTATTTACATTTATACTTATATTACATTTCCCTCATCTTTGTAATCATTTTATTTTTGTAATTTATTATATGATAATTTTTTTATTTGAATATGAACTACAGTATGATACAGAAAACTTGACTGGATTTACTATATAATTAAAGCTAATGTATAGTTTGTGTGTGTGTGTGTGTGTGTGTGTGTGTGTGTGTGTGTGTGTGTGTGTGTGTGTGTGTGTGTGTGTGTGTGCGTGTGCGTGTGTGTTTCAGATGAAGGTTGACCTGCTGAAGTGTGTGTATGTGCGTACGTGTATGCATGCATGCGTGTGTGTATGGTTTTTACGTACTTGTGTGTGTGTGTGTGCTTGCATGCTTGCTTGTTTGTGCGTGTTCGTGCTTGTGTGCATGTGTGTGTTCATTCACAGTTGCGTTTGTCTTCTCACAGGCTTACAAACGGAAAACAGAAGCAGCGAAGAAGGAGTATCTGAAGGCTCTTGCCGCGTATCGAGCCAGTCTGGTGTCCAAGGTAAAACACAGATTATTAATATCTATACATTAATATCTGACACTACAGTAAAGCACTGTAGAAAACACACAACACGTCACTCATATAGTTACGGAATAGGGGAAATCCATTGGCCACTCCAGCAAAGGAAGCCCCGCCTTCTAGTACAGGAGCCAATCGATGCTCCGGGCGATGTGCAGACGTGTGTTTAGGACAGTTTCTGCAGCTTCATTATTTTAAACTCTGTTTGGTCAGAAACCATCCTGAAATCTCAGTGAATACCTGCTTCAAAGACATGAGAAATATCTATAAAAATGATCATTCATTCATTCATTTTCTTGTCGGCTTAGTCCCTTTATTAATCCGGGGTCGCCAAAGTGAAATAAACCGCCAAAAAAGATCAGTTTTCCATATTTTGTGTTTAATATTTTATTTATGTTTATAAATTGCATTATGGGATCTTTCTTTCAATAACTTTTAACCTTAAAAAGTTGGAAAAAGTGACTTTTATGAACATTTTTAATTGTTTCATAGTGATATATTTTGTGGGTTGGTGTTGTATATTATATATATATATTATTACTTTCATTATATTTTGTATTCAAACTACTTAAATGTCAGTAAAAGTGACTTTGTTAAGCTGTACAGATGAATTTTCAACATAAAAATGGGAATGAGGAGAGATCAACATCCCATAATGCAACTCACAACCGGAAAAAAATATCGGGGTGGCTCAGTCGTTAGCACTGTGGCATTGCAGAAAGAAGGTCAACCCATTTGGTTTTCCCAAAATAACTACACACTATATTTTAAAATACTGTATATTGTTAACTTAAAATAAATTATTCTTTAACTTTTTGGTGTTGCTGTTAACTAAAATTAAGGCTGCAAATAAAAAACAAAAAATTATTATACTTTTATTTTTGAGTGAGAACAGTGTTTTTATTTTACACAAAATGTGTAATTAGTAAAAAATGCTAAATGTAAAAAAAAAAAAAAAAAAAAAAATATATATATATATATATATATATATATATATATATATATATATATATATATATATATATATATATATATATATATATATATATATAAAGGCATAACTTTAATTGAGGCAAGTTTAGTAAAACCAAATAGGAGTGATGATATAAATCATTATTATTAGACCCATATTATCATTAATATCTGTTTTTCCATTGTCCACAGAGCAAGCCACTGTTATACAATGACTTGACCCTAACAATCCTAATTAACCCAGTTGGGCCTTTAAATGTCACTTTAAGCTGAATACTGGTATCTTGAAAAATATCTACACTACCTGACAAAAGTCTTGCGGTGGATCCCAGTTGTAAGAGCAGCAAATCATAACTTTACTTCTGGTTGATCATTAGTAAAAGTGTCAGAAGGTGGATTTTCCTGATGAATCATCTGTTGATCTGCATTCCAATCATCACTAATATTGCAGAAGACCTACTGGAACCAGCATGTACCAAGATTCTCATAGAAATCAGTCAAGTTTGGTAAAGGAAAAATCATGGTTTGGGGTTACATTCAGTATGGGGGCGTGCGAGAGATCTGCAACATCAACAGCCTGAGGTATCAAGACATTTGTGCTGCCCATTACATTACAAACCACAGGAGAGGGACAATTCTCCAGCAGGATAGCGCTCCTTCTCAAACTTCAGCCTCCACATCAAAGCTCCTGAAAGCAAAGAAGGTCAAGCTGCTCCAGGATTGGCCAGCCCAGTCACCAGATATAAACATTATTGAGCATGGAGGAAGAGGCATTGAAGATGAATCCAAAGAATGTTGATGAACTCTGGGAGTCCTGCAGGAACGCTTTCTTCTTCATTCCAGATGACTTTATTAATCAGTGATTTGAGTCATGTCAGAGATGTATGGATGCAGTCCTCCAAGCTCATGATGGAGTCAGACACAATATTCATTCTGTCTCCACTGCAGCAGGACTTTATATTCTATACTGGACATTATTTCTGTTCAGTGATGAGACTTTTGTCTAAGCAGAGTCAGACCTCACTGTCCTGATGAAATCATTCAAAATCAAGGCATGATCATATTTTATTGAGCTCAAATAAGCAAATAATTTCATATAAGGCACTTCTCATAGCAAATTATCAACTAGGCGTTACTATTTGTTGTTCCTAAAACTTGAATAGGCCAAAAGATGTTTGTCAGGTAGTGTAGTCAAATGGTATGTGCTGTCATCATGACAAAAATAAAATAAATCAGTTATTAGAAATGAGTTATTAAAACTATTATGTTTAGAAATGCGTTAAAAAGTCTTCTCTCTGTTTAACCGAAATTGTTAAAAAATATAAAATATATTTCTAAATAATTATAATTATATAAATAATTCTGACTCCAACTGTATATGTGATCCATAAATCGAAAGCAAATTTGCCCCGAAAGCGACACGATGGATTGAAACGAGCAGAAATCAGTCGTTCCGTTGCATACGTTCATCTGCATAATAAAACACGGCAATCTCAAACCACTAATTTTACATTCATTGTTTCTCTTTTGAAAAAAGGCAAATTGCATTTTCATGCTAAACACTCGCTCTGCTTTTCCATACCTCGCTCTCCCAGCTCCTTGGCCCAAAACAAGAGCGTTGATTAAGCCGTGAATACAGTATTCATCAGCCGCTGGGGCTTTTATTAAACGCCTTTCTCGTCCTTCATTGCGTATAATTAAATATTTCGTCAAAATCTGTTTCTGGCAGATGCTTTGATTGATGTGTTCGTATACTCTCATGCATTGAAAAGGAGGAAAATATGACCAAAAAAAAAAAGTCTGACTCGCAAAACGGCAGCTCTGAACTCGAAACATGCACTCATGAAAAGAGGATGACTCTTTTTAGGGATGTTTTTATTCGCATTTGAGATTTAAATCGCTAGAAGAATCTTCCAGAGTGTTTAAACTCGTGCACCTGCTGCTATTTTACACTGATGCATTATTGTTTCTGTGGGTTTTAGATAAATATGGGTTTGTGCAAAAGTAGATTTTTCAATATCTGAATGCATTAATGCTGCTTACTTTCTCAGCAATGCTGTTTTCCATAGGGGTTCAAAATGTCTTTAATATAAAGCGTTATAATTTATGAACCAAAAAAACTCAACAAGTAATGAAATCTGTAAATAAATAAAAAAAAACATGGTATTAAGTGTTATTGTAGTGCAAGAACTACAATACCAACTCACTGCTGCCCTCTGATTGGTGGAATTTCTGAACAGCCTCATGGGTAATGTAGTTTTTATGCATAAATTATGATATTCCACTTGATTGTTTTAAAATCAAGTTGATGTTTAAACTGAGTCTTTGTTAAAAAGTTTTAATCCAGTTTTAATGCTGTTTTCCTATTTTGTTTTCCATAGGGCTTTAAAATGTCTTTATTTAAAAAACTATAATTTATGAACCAGCTCTAAAGAGAGTCACAATATTATAAGTTTTAATTTGAAGCTAAAAAAAGTAATGAAAATCTGAAAAAATAAGCACTTTAAATAGTATTGTAGTGAAAGAAGTACAATACTAACTCACTGCTGCTCTCTGATTGGTTGAATTTATGAACAACCTTGTGGGTAATGTTGTTTTTATGCTCAAATTGTAATATTCGACATGATTGTTTTAAAATTAAGTCAAGGGTTTAAAGAAAGTCTTTGTTAAAGAGTTTTATTCCATAATTAGATTGAAAACATTGGTCTGGCTAGCAAAACGGCAGCTCTGAACTCGAAACATGCACTCATGAAAAGAGGATGACTCTTTTTAGGGAGGTTTTTATTCGCATTTGAGACTTAAATCGCTAGAAGAATCTTCCAGAGTGTTTAAACTTAAGCTTAAGCTGAGGGTTTATATGAGGTGTTTGTTAAAGCGTTTCAATCCATGAATCAAAGCAGCCAGATATGAGGAGACTAATAATAAAATCAGACAAATCACAACGAGTGAACTACAATACCATTTAATTTCATTTAAAGCAAAACAAAACCAATAATTTAAAGTCATTATTTGTGACTTTAGCACACATTTTAAAATATTTAGTTGTGATTTGCAAGAGTAGGTGGAGCTAAAGATCTATTTTGGTGTACTTTGCTTGCTGCTACTCTCTTAATTGGTGGAACTTCTGAACAGCCTTGTGGGTATTGTAGTTTTTTCTACAAATTCTGCTATTATACGTGATTGTTTGTCAATTAAGTTAAGGGTTTAAAGACAGTCTTTGTAAAGTGTTTTAATAAAGCTATAATGAGAATCATTATGTTACAAACTATAATTTGAAATAAAGAAATTATAAAAATCCAGCAAAAACAAAGATAACAGCCTGAACTTTGAGTTTAATGAGTGAACTACAAACCATGACGCATTGCTAATGACACAATCAGACTTAAAACTATAAAATATAAAACTACTTATTTATTGTTATTTGTATCTATACAAACAATATATATTTTAAATATGCATATATTCATGATCATTCGAAGCAGTAGGCAGAGCTTTTTTTGGCACATTTAATCTGCTACTCACTGATTAGTGGAATTTCTGTACGGCCTCATGGATAATGTAGTTTTCCAGCATAATTTCTGCTATTTGAAATAATTGTTTTAAAAATGTAGTTGAGGGTTTAACGAAAGTCTTTGTTAAATTATTTTAATCCATAAACTTAAGTAGCTACAATGAAAATCATATTCCAAACATTAATTTGAAGGGGAAAAGTGATGAAAATCTGGGACAAACAAAGATAAAAGCCTGAACTTTGATTTCAATGAGTAAACTACGATCCCATCAGGCATTGCCAAGGGCACAATCAAACTTAAAACAACAAGAAAATGCAAAACTACTCATTTAAAATTGTTATTTGCAACTATACACATAATATATTTTTAAATATGCATATATTCATGATCATTTAAAGCAGTAGGCGGAGCTTAAGTTCTCTTATGCTACTCGTTGATTGGTAGAATATATGCTAAACTACTCATTTAAAGTTTTTATTTGTATCTATACAAACA